ATTAAAGAGTTAAAAATTTTCATTAGTTGTCATCAAATATCAATAAAATTTTATTTAATAATAGCATTCATTATAATCTTAATATTAAATTCTTGTTCACCTTATCGTATGTTTAAAACTACAAGTTTTAAAAACCTATCATTAAATCAATAAATATAATGATTACAAATGTTTTTATGTTTATAATTTAATGTTTAATGATTATTACATTAACTATTGATTATGAGTTAATCATAATATTAATTGATTAATTAAATTGAATTCACAATTTTATTGATAATTTTTTTAAAAATAATTTAAGTCTATTATAAGAAATGATTTCAAAATACTATACTTTATTGCCTTTTAATTGGTTTCGCAGTCAAGTATTAGATCACAAGTTATTTAAACGAAAAGGTTTTTGTTTGAATAGTATGTATAATACTGTACTAAAAGCTAATTAAACTTAATTACACCAATAAATAAAGGATTAATTGTTTAAAAACAATCAGAAAATAGATAACAAAAAACTTTTGCAAAGATATTACACAAGAAATTGATTTTAAAATCTTAAATTTAGAGCAAAATTAAATATTTATATTCAATTGAGAGATATTTTTAGACATAAACCCAAATAATAAAATCAATTGTAATCGTAATTAAATTTAATTATATATTTTGTGGCAGATATGAGATAATCAGGTGGACGACGAGGACGACGAGGACTTTGATTTAATGGCACGGGTTTTAGACATGTTAACCAATTATAATATCGGTTTATCACTACTTTTTTGTATAAATAAAAAAAAAATACATAAAATAAATTATGACTTTTTTTTATCGGTTTATTGATAATATTGTTTAATACATAAAATTGGATCCTATTTCGGGAAAGACTGGTTTTTGCGTAAATAACAGATTAGTTATTATTATTATTTCAGGATTTTTATTACTTTTATGGCAAACAAACAATTAATTGATAAGAAGATAACTTTTAAAACTTATTTATCATTTTTGTAAAAGTTAGATAAACTCTATACAGAAATATTAAATTTTCAATTTGTTCAACAAATCTGTATTATATTTATTACACAAATTGTCGTATAATTTATCATGTGTGTAATTTATTGTTAAAATTAAAAGTGTTATACACTGTATGCAGTGTTATATGATTTACTGTTAATTAATACTTGAATTTTATAAATAGTGGATTAAAGTAATAAAATTATGTCAATTATTACAAAATCTATTGCATTATATAACTCATTGTAATGCAAACATATAAATATATTTCTAAATATTGTTATCGTATAATAATATTTGACAATTTCATAGACATTTAGACACTATTTTCTCAGTCTTAGACACAATCGACATATTTTTGAAAAATATTGAACAGAATTTGATAACAAAAAACAGATGAAAAGGGCTTAACATAAAGTGTTTTCAATGAATTTCAATGAGAATATTGTGGTTAATAATGACAACGACTGATAGAAAGGTGTAGTGAACGGACGTGAACTGCAAATGCACTTCAAATCTGTATTCAATAAATACTCAATTTATTTATCCTTCAAAGTTATGTTTTATTATATATTTTAGTTTTTGCTTCAAATAAATACTTACTGACGGTTTGAGAGTATTATTGATATGATATTTATTAAATTAAATTTATGAAATAATGCCTAGAATTACAGTATAAGTTATTTTCAATACATATTTTGTAACAAATTTTTTAATACATAATAAATATTACTTTAAATAATTATAAAAATTGATATGAATGTCATTTTATTAATTAATTAATGATTATAAATGTAAATAATATTATGATAAATCTATATCTCACTTTCATTGCGATTAATTTTAATAAATATTGATTAATTAGTGATAAATTAAATTAATATTTGCATTGAAAGGCACATCAATTATAATCAAATTTATTTATGGTTTTGTTGTCATAAAAGTCATAAAATATAACCAAAAACTGTATTAAACATTACACTCGATGTGAATGCGATTATTGAAAATAATACCTAAATATATGGTATTATTGAACCGAAAATAAGTGATAATAATTGAGTGAATTTGAGGCCAAACTATATTTGATTAGTTTATATCGATATTAAAAAAACTCATGACTTTTATTGATTAGGGATTGATTTGAATGTGATTTAAATAATTCTCATTCAAATATATGTCCACAAGTGGTGACAAAAACCTAATTCACATCCAATACCACTCCAATGAAGTCATTTCAATGACATATACTTAACATATTTAATATAATCTAAATTATTACTACTATTCAATATTACAGATTAGTTGTCATTACATTTATTATATATCATTTACTATATAAGAAACCAGAATATGTTTTGAATAATGATATATATTTTTCAAAATTCAATTTATTTAATAACAAATAGTGTACTAAATTATAATAACATGTTTTATAATTTATAAATTATAACCATATTTTTAGATAAATCTAAATAAAAGAAAGTGTATGCATATCTTACTTGTCAGTAAATTATTATCCTGATCAATATATTTTAACATAATTTATAGCGTTGTTAAGTGACTTAAATGATCTAATATGCTAGATATCTGGATGAAATCATAGTGCTTAATTAAATTTATTTTTATAAATTATTGTGTCAATGTCGTTAAAAGCATAATGATAATTCTTGTCAATACCGCTGATAAGCGTATTTGAATTAATGGATATTTACCATATTCGGCAAACTTTATTTAAAACATTAAACTCAACATTTATAATAATTATTGCAAATAAATTCAAATACTCATTATTTACAACAAAATTTTTATTTAGTTATAATTTTTAATTTACATATTTTGGCAATTATTTTGATTAAAAATCTTATAGTAATAAACAATAATTTTGCACAAAAAATGATAAAAATAATGTGAGATTAACTTTACATTAGTGAACATTTCATTTATTTACTCAAATAAATATTAGTTAAATTATGTTTAAAAGTATTTTCTAAATAATATTATTTTTAATACAGAATTATATAAGTCTTTAATTGAAACAAATATTAGCGTTATTTACAAAAACTTACAAAATATTTAATTACAATTTTAAGAAATATTAATGACTTATTCTTTGGACACTTTTTGCGTATATTTACAAAAAATTTCGATGAATTTTATAATTATATTTCATTGAATGCTTCGTAAAAAGCAATTTTGAAAATAAAAACTAAATCATAGGCTTATGGTATCAGTAATAGTAGGTTTGTGGTCAGTAATGACATAAGAAATATGTAAAACATGTTAAAACTTATAATATTTTATCAAAATAAATACGAGAAACAATGCAATTAAACATAGTATGCTTTAATTTACAAATAGATTTTATGAGTTAAAGTAGTGATTAAAATGTGTTCAAACGGTCCAAACGTAATCAAAGAGTTGGTTTGTCTGCCAGAAAGAGCAGCGATCACTTTGGCTGTAGTCTCTCATTACAGCCGATGTCTTATTATTAGTCTTTGAATTGATTTCAATAAACTGTTGAGGAAATGGTTGTCCTAACGATACAATCGATTGGCGTTTGCTTTGCGGGTCTGAAGTAAAGTGTTTGGTAGGGGTTGTAGTGGTTGTAGTGGTAGTCGTCGTCGTAGTGGTAGTCGTGGCTGTTGTCGATGTCGTGGACGTCGACAAAGTAGTGGCGTTTATCATCCCTTTAGCCTTATCTCCGCTATTATTATATAAGTTTTGATTAATGTTTGAATTATTTACAAACGATTGAACTAATTGTTGAATTGTGTCGCGAATGGAAAAGTCCTCTTCTGTCGGACGCCTAATGAATGACTCGATTTCGTCGAAATAAGATATGATATCAATTAAATGAAACGAATAACTCGAGGGATAGCCGTAGACCCGCACCTATTGTCACAAACAATACAACCAAACATTATTAAATATATAAAACACATACAATATAATGGTTTTTAGTGATTAACCACTCAATCTCTTACCGGTTCTGAAAGTCTAGCGTTAAATATATATCGATAAACGGATGAATTGTTTGAGTGTTGGGCCAAACTCTGGGCTAAATAGTCATTAGGGCAGACCTGTCTCAGATCGGACACCATATTAATGTACTGAATGGCTGGCGTAGTCTCGTTGCCGTCGTCTACGGGTGCGTACAGTTGTAATGACTTTCGCGATATCTGAGCGCTAAACGAGTCCAGACTTGTGGTCACGTATTTAGTATAGTCTCTCCACTGCCAAGTGTCCAGATCTCTGGGTCCGGGCCAGAACTCGATCGACTGAGCCGTCGACCCAATCAACACCGGACTGTCCACTACTGATCCGTTGAATGGATAGAAATCCCGAACGTATTTGTCTGAAAAATGCAAATTTAAATTAATTAAACCATATTTATAATAATTTAGTTAATTTATTGCCTAACTTTTATCGTAATAAAATTCACTATAATTTATAGACTATTTTAAAGACTTTTTTAGTAAATTAATCCCTAAGCGTTTGCCTTAATATCAGGACAACTAATTGTATGTTCACTGTATTGTTATTACAGTGTATTTAATGCATAAATTAGTGTATTATTTATCTTAATTAGGAAATCATGTATCGAAATGAGGAGCAAATATATAGCGAAGTGTTTGTATATTTTTCATACCATCGATAATAATTAGCTGTTCACTCATTATCCCAAGAATAGGCAAATCGTTTTGATCGTTAATACGAAATGATGGGTCGTTTTTGCCCAAAAAGTATTCAATCACTTGATTACTGGAAAGCGATTTCAAACACTCTATGGATTCACATCCGGAATATTTGAGAAAATTTTTTCGGTTATGTTTAGAGGCGTCGGTAAACGAGTGGTTTAGATATAGAGCCGCGTCTATAAGCCATGAATTGCTGTATAAATGTCTGAAATCTTTGTTTGAAATGATGGCCAAAATGAGTGCAGCGCCAGAATCTGCGCCAAATAGTGTCACTTTTGTCGGGTTTCCTCCAAACGATTTTATATTGATTTGTATCCACTGGAGGGCTAACACCACATCCATTAGACCATAATTAGTTGAATTGTTAATACTCTCGTCGTTACGATCGTCGGTATCATTACTGCCGCTATTTATCAATACATCCAAAGGCATGAATCCAAACGCGTAGAGCCGGTAATTAAGGCTCACGTAAACCGTGTCCATAGTTTTGGCCAGTTTTCCGTTGGGCCGAAGTCCCGGCTGATGGCCCGAACCAAACTGTAGGAAACCTCCGTGAATCCATACCATCACCTCATGGTTGGCCTGAAAACAGATACATATAAAACATGTTATTAATCAATAACAACAACATATCTATAGTTTTTTTTCTCTTCTTCTTCTGTATACACAATATTCTCACAGATTGTGTGAAACAAACATAACATTAGTTTTTCGTTGTGTTCGTTAAAAAGCTATTTGTGTCACTCGTATGCCTACCTCTGGATCGATATTTGGTGTCCAAACGTTGAGGTATAGACAGTCCTCTTTGCCCTCAATCTGTTTGTTGTATGGATTGATTTGAACGCACGGCGAACCGAATTTCGTGGCGTGTCTTTGACTGCTTTGATGACAATTGGATGAGCTATTGGTGAGCGGTATCGGCGCCGACCATCTCCTGACACCCGTTGGCGGCTCCGCGTAAGGGATGCCCTAAACCATGCGATTTAATGACAAACAATAGCCGCTATTATTTGTTGGCTTCTAATCAATATTATTGTCATTTCTTATTTCATTTGTTATATAACAACAGATTTGACGTCCGATAAAATAATTACATATTTTGGGAAATAAATCATCGAAAAACACGGTATCCTTTTAGTGGGAGTTTAAGCATTATTTTGTGGCATATATTGTAATCAATGATAAATATAGTGAGGATGTGATTAATTATCGTCACAAATAAAGTGCACAATTAAATCAATTGATACTCAAAAAATAAAATGCTAGAGATTTTATGTTTTTAAAATTTTTAATTCATGTAGACTTCCGTTTAAATATTGTTAAATATAATAAATAATTAGATTTATTAATATTTTCAATTCTTATGAACAAAAAACTTACAAAAACTTTATCACTGTTTAAATTCAATGAATAAAAGCTATTTTTCTGTATAAAAACCATAAGAGATATATTGAATAGAATTTAAATGAATAAATAATGTATGAAATGATTATAAGAATTAATGCTCGAAAGGAGTAAAATGGAAGTCAATTCAGCGCTTCTTATATTAAATATGATATGATTTTTATTATTATTTTTCATTTATTATACGAAAGAATTTTGTATTTTCTCGAAAGACAATGAAATTCTTGAAAAATAAAATACAGGAAAAAGTGATTTATTAACATTTGGATTACCATTCTTTTCATTATTATTAAAACTACTTTTGTATTCAAAAAATGGCATTTATTATTTTTAAAATATGTAATTAATTGATTTAAATGATGTTCATTATAAAACACACTGTAGCATGTCCAATATATGAACTTTATACTCTAAAGTTTTATACAGTACCACATAATGCATGGTTGTTTTGTATTATAAACGGTGTATAAATACCATAAATAAATATTTGATAATAAGATTTATGTAATATTACGAAATATAAGACAACCGATAATATAATACTATTACTCTGAATGTAAATAAAATTTTACATATTTATATTAGAAAGTAACTGATTGATATTTTCAATGATTTATATAATGTTAAATTTATTGATTGGATTTTGAATTAATAAAAAAGTTTTGTTGAATTGATAAAAATAAAGTAAATTTATTTCTGTTATAATAAAATCCTTTAATACTTTTATTAGAAAAGATTGAAAGAAAATTCAAAGAAAATACAGAAAAACTGTATACAGTATAAGAGAGAAACCGATTTATAAGCAAACGTTTGCAATGAAATCCATTGTTAGTGATTCTCATTTCAGTATTCAATTCAGTATTTATTCAATTCTTTTCTTATAATAAGTTTTCTTCAAAAATACAAAAATGATTTAAAGAAAGACAAATCTTAAAAATATATCGATTCTGCAAACAATTTATTATAAAATGCTTCAAAAATAATAGTTTTCGTTTGCATTCATATAATTTTCTAAATTAAATGCTATTAAAAGATATAATCAAATATTTTTATTTAAGAATATTTAATTGAAACTCCATTTCAAGAGTATTTCTGTTTCGTATCTAAAAATTTATAAGTTTATAGATTTTGGTAGAAAATAATTACTAACAAAAATGCCATAAAATAGAGAAATAATAATAAATGGCTGAAACAAGTTATGAGTCCGAAGAGCCCATAAATCATGGTTGAAAAGCATTGAAAGTTATAAATACTTTGAAAACAAAGGCTTCGTGTTCTTCGTCTCCAATTAATTTTCCACAAATAGTGTCGACGACCACTGATTCCTGGCTTAAGCCCAGCGCCTGTTCGGCCATCCATTGCTGGCCCTCAAGCGTATGGTCTAATCCATTGGATCCCAATTTAAGACCAGACTTAGCTCTGGCGGCAGTTATGGCTGTGATAACGAATGTGAGCAAAACGGCACAAATCAATGCCAACGCTATACGCGAACGAGTGGCACATCTCTGGTATATGTGTTCCGCAGGTATCGCACGAATCGCCGGCAAATGACACTCCATTTGTTCCGTTATTGTCGACGACCGCGATATCAGCCGATCCTCTGCCGTCCGCTCCCCTCCCGATGCAGACTGTCTTTCGTCACAATTGGTCTCCATTTGACGACACGCTTCGTATGATGTGTTCAATACCATTGTTTTACACCTTTTGATCCAAACAAATACATATCGTTATATTTTTAAAATATATTTTATTTTGGTTTTATTTTATAAAGGCTTAAAATTTAAGTGAAAACAATTAGAAAATTTGTAAGAAATAATATCTAACTTCATTTAATATAAAGTTAAATTTTAATTCTATGCAATAGTCGTTCGAGAAATAGTATTATTGCAATCTATGTCTACTAAAATGTCTAATAGTATTGTTCCGTAATATCTGCTCATAATTCAAAAATATTTACAGAATAAAAAATTGATTCAAATTTATCATAATACATTTTATGCATATTTCATATTGTTTTATCAATACTCTCTCCCCTCTCTTGAAATGAATTTATATCTTATCTGAACCTCTATTTGTATTTTCATATAAATTCCACTTTTTTCTCATTCAATAAAGACTTTTCCAAATGCTTTACAAAATTCAAATCTAAAACACTTTTCCATTTAATGGCAATCGAAACGAACGGAAAGTTTGGATTTAATTTCAGTTTTATAAATGGGTTGCAAAACACTGTATATATTTCAGCCATAAATCAAGTCTTATGTGAGTATATATTATATAAAATTGTTTATATTCTGTACAATAAGATTACATTAATTAATGCATTTTGTGATTAATTCAATGACAAGATTTAAGTGCACAATAAGTTTTAAGTATACCTTATATTATATATAGTTAGACATTGAATTAAATCAAATGAAGACAATCACTAATACCTGAGCCATATATTAAGCTAATTATTATTCGCTTCAGAACTTAATTCTATTAATTCAGTCTATTCTTAAGGAATGGGAGTAATAGTAAATGAAATGAGAAAAATGTTAGCTTTAATTACACCACAATTGAGGAGAGAGAGAGAGAGAGAGAGAGAGAGATTGTAGCAAATGTAGAATACATCTCCAGTATTGATATATTGTGCATAAGTTGTATTGATTTTTGGACACTCTTTCAATTACTTCCAAACCATTCAATTTCGCTGCAATTTTGGGTAATATTCTGTAAATCTATGAAAACAAACACAATAACTAAATCCAAAGCCAAGAGTTTGTGTTTCTTGTGCTCATCCAAAACATAGGATGTATTTATTTTTATTTAAAAAAGGAGTCAATGATATGAGGCGTGAATGAAATTAGAAGAGTGTCTATTGAACCAAAAAATTGTTGTACACATTAATAGAGAGTGTCCTCTACTCTAGTACTCAATAATCAAGTCCTGAATTTTCAAACTATATATGCGTTCACTCTATAAGAGTGATCGCCAGAGAAGATGAAGATTACAGGATTCGTGATACGAATTCTCTTAATTGTATTATTATTGCTCTCTTATTATATCCACTCTCTCTCTCTCTCTCTCCCTCTCTCTCTCTCTCTCCCCTCTCTTGAAATGAATTTATATCTTATCTGAACCTCTATTTGTATTTTCATATAAATTCCACTTTTTTCTCATTCAATA